TTTTAATTTTAGCCTTAGTCTTGAGTTTAATCCTAATGTAATCCCAGTTCAATCTTAATCTTGATCCCATTCTTAGTCTGAATATTGGTTAGTTTAAATTTTAATCGTAGTCTTAAGCGTGATCTTGGGTTTAGTTTTAATCTTAAACTTAATCTTAGTCTTTACTTTAATCTTAGTCTTAATTTAAATTTTAATCTAAATCGTAGTCTTATCTTAATCTAAATCTTAATCTTATGTTGATTTGGTTTTTTCCCAAAATGATGCCCTCTACGGTGCAAAATGTGTTCGATGTTACACTCAACCCTGTAAAAGGGCATATTTTTGCCCTGTTGTCCTTGTCTGGCTCACGCTTTTCATAATATTGCCGTTTAAAGCAGCCATCTGGTTTTCAGGGCAACATTCTCGCCTGACAAAGCTTCAAAGGGCAGATAATGTGCCTTTTTTCCCTTACAAGAGTGCGCAATTTTTAGAAACGAACATACAATTTTCTTACCGTCTGCCTTTATTTCAGAATCGAACAGGAAAAGAGAAAGGAGCAATCAAGAGGCAACATTTTTTTGGTAGAAATGAAAATGCCATCTCCTATTTTCTTCTGTCGCGTTTCGTATCATTGGAGTTTGGAATTCGAGCCCAACGATCGTGCCATTTTTTTGTAATACTTAGGTTTATTTAAAAAAAAATTATCTCCATCTATAAATCTGTAATGTCTAGGGTAGCTACATCGTTCTATTTTGGCTGACAGCTCATTTTCACATCCCTTTATCCCATATTTAGGTCTTGCGTAGAATAATTTACTTCAATAATAATGCTTAAATATATACACTTATTATAAGAGTGCTCCATCCGATGTTTTTATTACTTCATTTCTTGTATTTACACTCGTACATAAATGGATTTTTCTGTATATTCAAATACATAATCTTAACCAATTGCCATATCGTAAAGCCAATCTGCGTTCACAGCATCACTCAACCATGTGAGCTTTCTTTGTTTATACTATTTGCCACATCATAAATAAAGTAATGCAAAAATCGCAGACACTTTTCAGAACTTTTCTGCCGAATTTCAAATAAAAAATATTAAATTTGTCAATTAATTGAATTTTGGACAACAGCTGGCGACACTAGCATGTCTACACCTTTTTTCTCAAGCTTCTATAATTGCGCGGCGCAGCATTTTCACTGGGGAAATAATTTGATACCAAATGTAAACAAACTGAACATTTTGAATTTATTTTATTTATTCGTGGCTTGCTGCATTAGCGGCTAAGCATCAGCGACGTGTCGCAATCGCCGCACTCAGCTGTCAACACTCAGCGATTTTAACGGTGTAGCAATCCAGTTTATGCTGATATTTCAACACCGGTCCAAATTGCTGTAGTGTTCTAAAAATTAATGTAAATAAATATACGAAGCACTTAAATAATAAATATCATTTCCAGATGATGTGAAATTGTGGTAAACAGTGGAAATTGAATAAAAAAAAAAATACAGATAGAAAAATAGTGGTAACGGCAGTGTTTGGACGCCCTAATGTGGTATCATCTTCCAGCGATTCCCTGCCATGCTTGAGTTCTCTTCTCTTTCTTTTTGTGATAGGGTATGTATTGGGTGCTGCTATGGGGTCACTTCTCGACTGCGGTCTATGTCTATTCACCGCAAAACATTGACTAAATACGCTGGCGACATATGTCTTTTGTTGCATCGTCTTTCTAATCGAAGTATGCCAGCGAAGTCTTGTGGTGATGTTTTAGTCTCCGACCAAACTCTTGCGACTGTGAATAATTTCACATATCTTGGCAGCGAAGTTGCCACTGATGAAGACAATGACCGTCGAAAAAACTCTCTGAGTTTCATCTTAAAGATTAGGCTTTTCAAATCCATTCGGGCGCAATAGGCAGACGCGTACAAATTTTCGCAAAGCAGACGTCTTAGACTGATACTCCCCATTTATTGGCCGAAAACAAACTCAAATGAGGATTTGATCAGAAACGTTAACATGTAGCTCCTTGGCATATGGATACGAAAGCAGAAATAGTAGTGTGTAGGCCACATTGTGACCAGAGCGGAATGATTGAATTCGAAATTCCTCTAATTTGTGTTCCAGAGCATAGGGATATACATATGCGGGAATGAGAAAGCCAACGAACGAGAGAGGGGATACTCTAAAAAATAAGTATGCGCCACGGGCTATAAAAAGGAATTACCGAAATTTACCACTCGAAAGGTAAGCAAATAAAGGCCAGATGCCTTGGGCATTTTTTCACAATCTTAAATCAGTATATGCTTGAATTTTGACCCAATTCCTTAAGACGAAGAAGAAGTAAGCAACAGTAAATGCACAATTTATCCCTGCCTCCACTGAAAAGGACTCCTTTGTCCAAAGGACAATAAAAGCAAATCGATGTCGGCGCAATATCAAAGGCGTGAAAAGACACATTTTTGCGCCCACTTTTCAATCAAATTCCTATGCTTATATACGCATACCTACTCACGCTCATAAATTTTTAACGCATTGCCCTTGGACATTGCAACAATTGCAAGGCAGTGCTGGGCAAATTATAGGACATACATAAGTATGTACGTGCGTATGTATGTATATAAACAGCATGTGTTATGTATGTATATATGTATGTTGTTGACATATTGAAAACTCTATTCTTCGTATGAGTATTTATCCTGCCTTCGAGTGTTCATTCTCTATCCAATCCAAACCAATTCAATATATAATTGTCAATGCAGTGACCCAAACATCGACAGATTGATCAACCAACAAATGTTGTATAGAGGTATGTACATATGTTTCCTTCTGTTGGTGGGGGTTGTTATTACATATTTTTAACTAGGCTTCTTGTGACAGCATAAAGGTCGCGCAGATTTATAACGCTCATTATGAGCAAAATGATTGCTGCTATTCGTAGTGACCAGGAGTCTGTAGCTATTATTTGGGCATGCATAGCGATGCATATATGTATGTATGTATGCATGTGAACTTTATATGTATGTGTGGATTTGCTGAGACCGGCTGCATTGTATTCAAAGTCACCAAAGGTGTAATGCTTGCCCAATTCGAGTGGACATAACAAAAGGTGCAATTGTTCTGAAAAGAATAGAAGATGCGGCGCCAAATAAATAAATGACGTTGCCGGCGCCTGTGTGGCCAGGATACGTGAATTGAAGTTGAATTGAAAAACTTAACAAGATTTATGTTGCAACATTGTGCTATTTGCCATGTGGTTGCAAACACGCGCGCCTCTGCAGTAATTGGGTGTGTATGTGTGGTTTTTCTGTGACTGTACTTCATAGTTAGTCTAATAGAATTTTTTTTGCACCTGGTGCCTATGTTTGAAAATATTTTTGATTAAAAAAAAAAAAAAAAACAGGGACGCGTTTTATATACATACCTACAGCGGCGAGAATCTAAGTAAGTAAGGGATATTTTAACAAGTGTTGGCTATTTTTCTTTGTTTTAAATAAGTTTATTATTTTTTGTAAATATAGCTCACTATCAAAATTGCAAACTTTGTAGAACATTTATAAAAATTCGAGGATTTTTAAGAAATGTTAGAGTTTTTTTGAGTATGGAGTTTTGTAGCCCATTAAATTTTAGTATAATAAATTACAGGCTTGAAGAAGCTGCTGATTTTTTTTTAATCTTTTGTGGCGGCGTTAAATTGTAGGCCGCTCGATGATGTGAAACCCTTAACATGCCCTTCACAAGGGTAAGCTCCGCCAAGTACTCAACAAAAAGGTGACGCTTAATTTTGTTTTTTGTTTATTTATTTATTATTAAAACATATGTTTGTATGTATGCCATTTTTATAAAAAAAGTATATATATTTAATGTTCAAATAATTTACTAACGACGTCGTATAAAAATCATTGATTAATATCACAGCATAATATTTAGTTATTATGATATTAGAAATATGCACATAAATTTATTTTAGATTTAAAAATACATATTAAGTACGACAAACGAGACAGATAATACTGAGTACGATATATGATACGTATGTATGTGAGAGCCAAATAATGTCTTAAACGAAAAAACTTAAAAAAAAGTATAGAGCAAGATTCATATTAAATATACAAAATTATTCGAAAGTTTTTCAACGAAAATAATAAACTAATATTTGGCAACTATGTTTAGAAAATCAAATTTTTAGCCTTTAACTGTACTAAATTTTCAAAGAGAATAAAGCTGCCTTGCGTACTTAATATTATTCATACATACGTATATGTATGTACACTAGAGTGGTCCGATCTTTTTATGGGGGAAAAAATGTCATGCTAGAAAACGGGTTAGTTTTTTTCCGTTTGATATTTGCAATATCTACACCAACTTTAAATTTTCTACAGTAACCAATACATGGTGCTCAATGGCCTTGAAATGCGCTACTGAATCGCTGTGAAACTAAGAAAAAAAAAAATATTGGTGATTTTTATAAAAAGCTACTGTTGCCATGACAACTGAAGCTTGTGATATTTTTTTAGATAATTTAAATTTGAAATGTTCTTAGGTTGCTTTACTAAATGTTTGATTAATATAAAATATAATAAATAAAAAAATATGAGCATCATAAGCATCCTCTAATGTTATACTTAGAAACGTACAATTAGGCACCAGCACCTCTTTCAGCAAAAGGGAAAAATTTGGAAGGTGCCCCAAACTCTTTCATAGAAAAATTTTTTTTGGACCACTCTAATGTACAAGTTTGCAAATGCATAATGCTTATTATTACGAGTATCTAAAACTAATTACATCTATTCCTGAGTTACATTCCGAGCTGCTTAATCATGGCTTTGCCAACTGGCTGCTTTTATGCTCTCGTTGATGCCTCTGTTTGTGCGATTTGCGGCGAGAATTCGTTGGTATCTTTTTACCATCCTTCTGCTTTCTTGATTGCCTTGTCTGCTTATCGACTCCCAGCGCATTATGCTCTTTCCCTTCCTCCCCCATTGTCCCTTTCTGCTGCTTCCCTCCTTTGCTTCCCTTACCACATCGCCTTTTCAGTGATTTTCGCATATTTAGCAGAGCTCTACGCAGCCTATGAAATAGCATATTAATATCAATAGGATCGACACCATCTCGCGCAGTGCGCTTATACGATCTGAGCTGCATTATTTGCTGTTGCATTTTATTAGCATCAATTGCCAATGCATCGCTGCTCATTTGTTGCTTCGACAACAAATTCGCAGCCAACTCGAATTCGCAGAGAATACTGCGTGTTGTGATGATTAGGTGTCGCAAACGCTGGAGATCCTTGTCCGCCTTGTTGGACTGCTCAGGTGAGCTAACAAATGTGTTTTCACGTAAATTCTTGTAGTTGTATGCGCGTTCATAAAGCTGATCAGCAGCAGCAACATAGACTTGCAGCTGTTTGTGCCAAGTTCGTAAAGTGATCTGGAAAAATTTGGATTTGCAGGGGAAATATTTACTTAGTTTGTTAGGCGTTTTAATTAGTTGGTGCCGTTGTTAAAATGCTTTAATTTATATAATCGGATTTTATATTTTTTTCTTCTTATAAACATTTGTGAAGGATGAAATTTTGTGAAAAGAAGAAAAGCGTTTGAAATGGAAAGTGAAAGCGCAGATGATAAATATGTATGTATTTTCTTGCTTCACTCCATGAACGACCACAAAAATATTATCAATTTGCATTATGATTGACTGACCAATTAAAATTCGCTTAGCTTGTTCTATCAAATAATAAATCGCACTGAAATTAAATAAAAAGTCGTCTTTAAAATATATAAATTTGTATGCCGCATTCATAGATGACAGCTTTGCGATTTTATCCATGTACTTTGTCATATAAATTCATGCGCGCCGCATAGTAATCTGTTGGGGACTTTTTCTCCGCTTGGTGTGAATTTTCAATAGAAATTAATTATGTATGCATAGCACGCTTTGCAAAGCGCAAGCGCAAATTAAATTGTTAATTAAATCTTGTTTCCATTTTTCTCACAGTTTTATTACTTTGTTGTTGCGATATGGGGGGGTTAAAAGCAGTTAATAGCTTTTTTGTTTTGCAGTCGTTGGAAAGTATGCAATTCTCAGACATGCTTCACAAGTCGCTATGCAACGGCGATGGGAAATCAAGTTGAAATGAAACTGTCTTCACTTCGAATTGAAAACTGAGTTCTTATAAAAGCACTAAACCCACCTTGTCTGGTTTAATTAACCTTTTATCGATTTTTTCGTTGTCCTTTGTAGTTGCTTAAAATTTTTGAAACTTTGAAAGCTTTCGATTTGATAACTAGCTTAAACTTTGTTTGCACACTTACCAAGTTATGAACACTACAAGCACAAATGTAGAACAATCGTTTTCTAGCACAAAACACCTATGCTATTTTCAAAAGTCAGATGGTAAAAATGTTGTGTGGAAAAACCGAAAAACTTAATTAAATTTCAATAAGTCACTACTTCATTAATTTTTTTTTTTAATTTATAATTTATGCATGGCACACCTACGTGTCTATATTTTTATAATACCTGTAGACTTAAGATTATAAGAAAAAATTATCAGCGTCCAAACATATTCAGTAAAGGGTATGCAGCGTGCCAAAAAAACAAAAAAAAAAACAATGCTCAATCATCACTTTGACTCACTGGTGTTTTAGCTAGTTTTGGGATTACATCGAGCGGGTATTGTTCCAGATTAGATAAAACATTACAGTCACTTTTATTATAATATATCCTCTATTGAAAAATACGCAGCAGATATGGCGATTTTGACTATATAAAAAGTATGAAAATTTCTAGGGATATGGCGATATTTATATGTATGCACTACATATGTATATATAGAAGAAAACCAACATAGCTCCAACAGTGGCCTTTAGCACTTGAAATGGCATCAGCCCAATGTCTAGCTTTGATTCGAAAGTAGGCAATAAAAAGTGCAACGTTCAAAATTTCGCACACATTTAATTAACAAAGAAATAGCACAATACGTCACACATAGAAGCCGCATTTAAATCAAGTACATACAATGAAATGGCTATTTAAGTGGCTATTCAATGAATACATTATCAAAGTTTTACATACATATTAACGCTATGACACTGTTCGCTCGCTTTTTTGTGTTCATTTACGTTATCGTACGCGCATTATTTGTAAAAAGCTTATTATTGTTTAACATGAGAGTGGTTGAATGAGATTTTGATGCCTCTGTTTACAAAAAAAAATATAACAACTAAGATTTAAATAAACAAACAATTGTATTACAAGTGAGCATACGATAAAACAAATAAACAAATATTATCGCTATTTTTACGTTCGTTGTGTGGTATTTGCTATTTTCGGTTATTTATAGAACTTACCGATTATTGTATTATGCGATTTTTTTAGGTGAATAGATTTAATTACGTAAAATGCAATCAATTCAACTTTGAACTTTGTGAGGCACGGTATCAGCAGCATTTTTGTTGCTTATGGGTATTCGCTGGCGTAAAAATGGCAAATAAAGTTGCACTAAGGTTCAAAAGAATAAGGTGACATCGGTTAAATAGTGAGGCAAAACTATCAAAAATCAAAAGCTTCTGAGATATGCCCATATATGTACGTATGTCAAAGAAAATTTTGGAAAAATAGCGGCTCACTACATAAATATTGATCTTTTCCGAGCCCTGCCAGCAGAAAGGAAGGTGTTTTGAATTTTTTCCATATAAAGTATTTTCGAAATTTTTTTTTTTATGGAAGAGACTGCATGAAAAAAAATGCCACAAATCAAATTATTTGATAAAATTGATTGGGCTACAAATCTGCATACTCAAAAAAATTTTAAATAATCTGATTAAAAATTTGAAAATTTCCATACAAATTTTCTGAATTTTCGCGGGTTTTGCACAAAATTAAGGTTTTCTACTTTTATGTTTTTTGTTATTGAATGAACCATATTTTTATAAAAAAGTTGGCGGAAAAATATTTAAATAAAAATTGTTGCAAATATTGTGAAAAATTTGCTGTGCCAATACTTACATATCGTTACCTTAATATAGAAAGGCCCTATCTGACATCGTCGCTGATTTACAAAAAGTCGTAACTAACTAAAAATCGAAAATTTACGTTTTAATTGATTATGATGCATTTGATTGAATTATGTGGCCTCACATCGTTTTATGCAATAAAAGATTTTAGTTAGTTACGGCTTTGTGCATTTCAGCGGCGATGTGAGATAGGGCCTTTCTATATTAAGGCAACGATATGTAGTTCGGGCAGTGTACAAATATCCGTACATATGCACTTTTGCGAACTTAACACCTACATACGTACAAAAATATTCCAAACCGCATGATGAGAGCACTCTCTTTCTAAATATGTATGTACGTGCGATAAGCAGAAAGAGCAAAAATAATGAAGATAAAAAATTCAAAAGCTTTCGAGCAAACAAGCGCTGTCAAACGGCGAGCTGATTTGCCGGCACGCCGACCTTGCCGCTCACCACACCACGCGCTCTCCGCACATCCATAAACTAAGGGGGATTCCACCGGCACTTCCGAGTGATTCATGCGCTGAAAATGAAATTTGCGAAATACATATGTAACCGCTGGAGCCACAGAGGCATGGCAAAACGCTTGAACTGACTAACCGATCGTTCAGCTGTGCGCGCGGCGTGTTTAGTTAGCATTTTTAAGCGCTTAGTTGCGCGTATTCACACACATCTACATACATACACACTTTGCATGTGTACATACAAATAAATTTATGTATGTTGTTGTTCGTTTTACGTAAAATTCGTCGAATATTTGCTTTTTGCACCGATTCTGTGACGTAAATTTAGTGAATGCTACAAATTCTAGGAACTGCCGATGATGTGTATACGCCCTGGCGGTCCGGTGATCGTATTGCCGGCGAGCAATTGACATACATACATATCTAGTACTTAAGTAATTGAAGTAAGAATGTGAGCAGTGTTGTTGTTGTGTGTGTTTTTTTTATCACTGCTTGATTGTTTATTTGATTTAGATACGAAAGCGTTTAGTTAAATTTAGGTTCATGCTGTCATGATAAATGGTAGCTCAATACATTCTGACTGGAAATTCCCGCCTGACTACGAGTACATACGAGCACGTACCTACATACATATGTATGTATCATTCTTGTGTATATATGACCACCAGCAGCATCAGGGTGGTTGGGCGTACGATAACAACATTGTCACGGACGTTCGCATTTTTCTTCAGAATTTTAATTTTGAAATAACAAATAGAAATGGGCCCTCAGAACAGTGAAAATACTTAGAACTCAGATCAGCGCAAACATAAGTAAGTATTTACTAAAAAATTATGTAAATACTAAATGTAATAAAAACATAAGTAAATTCAAGAAATTGACCATTAGATCATTTAAAATGGCTGCTGAAATACGTCAGTTATTATAACGAGCGAAGGTTTTGACGTAAGGTAACATCTATGAGCACATGAGAGCATTGATATTTCACACAATTAGAAGACTTTTAAGTATACTAGCTAACTAGTTATGGTATACTAATATACTAGTTAAGTGTGTTGCTGTGGGTTAAGGAAGACAATAAATAATATACATACATATATAGAGGTCTTATAGAAGAGCTGAGGGATGGTAACCGCTGAAAACACGAGGTATGGTAGTAATAATAGGTATGGTAATGGTAAAGGTGATGGTAATAGTAATGGGTATGGTAATGGTAGTGGTAATGGCATTGATCACGGCAACGGAAAATGGTACTGGTAATATTGATGGTAATGACAGTGGTAGTAGTAATGACAACTGACTGAGAACTAAAATAATACAAATTTTGGAATAAAATCAAACACAGGGTTTTCCGACGGTATCCCAAAAAAAAAGAAAAATTTTATAAAAATAAAAAAATGGTAATATTTAATGGAATGAATAAAAAATAATTTTATTTAATAGTGCGGGGTTTTATCTTTCGAAAAAGAAATAAGAACCTGTTAATGTTTTGCACTTTTTGAAATAATGCGGTTTTTGCTAATGCATAAAATATTTTTATTTTGTTTTCATTTTTATCCGTGCTATCAGATCTCCGCGAGTCGTTCTATTTAAAAAAAATAAATTGGTGTCAGATTAAAAAGTTCTGCAGATCAGTGTTGCCGTTCTGCGACTAAGCGGCAATACCCTTTGACCCGACTTTTTGAAAATTTTGATTTTTTGACCCTTTTCCAAAATTATGTGCGACTTTTGCCCATTTTCAGAGATTTTTTTAGGAAACAGAACCATGCTACTAAAAAATACTTCCTCCTGTAAGTACGAAAAAATGCAACACATAAAACTTTTAAGGGAAATGCAACTCTCCCCCTTGCAGCAACTAGATTTATGTGTATGTTTGCAAACCTGCTTTGTGCGAAGCGTGTCCGCTATATTCTTTTTAAAATCAACAAATTTATTCTTTTACTAGTAAAGAAGAGCAAAAATAATATGGTGCCCCAATTTTTTCGTCAATGACCCCTTTTTTGCAACTTTCTGGAAATTCTCAATGGCAACACTGCTGTAGTTAATCGTGGTTTATGTTCTTTAAAGAGTTGCCAACTGATAAAAAATTAAATTTGAATCTTTTAATAAGTTAATTGCATTATTAAGAGATGGATATCAATCGAAATGGGTATGAAAAGAGTTTATTTCATGTCTACATGTAGGTGGGTTGCCACCTTTCGAAAAAATCAAATTCCATTTGAATTAAAGGTAATTGAACTATATGGATATCAATGCAAAGAAGTCAGACGGAAGAGGTTGAAGAAGGTTTTAGCTTGCAAATATTATACAGAGGTTGCCACCTGTTTGTAAGTCAAATTTAATTAAACTAAAATACATTCTCAATCAGTGATTATTCTGATTACATTACTTTTAAATTACTGGACTCTTAAATAAACTGTAAAGTTTCAGGAATGTTTTCACTCTTCCCTTATTTCTTGCTAAATAAGTACATTTTTTTTTATTTATCTGATACCCATATTGATTTACATATTTCAGTTACCTAATTCCCTTAATTCAATTTAAGTTTATTTTTATACCTCTGGCAACCTTACTACGTATCGTATAGAAGTAAAGCATTTTCATAACCATTTCGACTGATACCCATATGTTAATATCTAATTCATTTAACTTATTGAATAATTTGAATAAAATTTGTAAAAGGTGGCAACGCTTTAAAAAAAAATGTATTGTACATCTGCACGGCAATCCCTGGCATTTAACACCTCATTTTTGAAAATAAATGCTACAAGAACCCAAATTTTCAACCTAAGAATCAAAAAGTGCACAGTTTATTTAATTTTTGAAAATTTGGCAAAAAATCGGATGAGGTCTTTACGAATTCTTCAAAGTTTCTTTACAATTCAGAATACTCTGAAAAAATGGTTTGTAGGGTATCATGACAGCTGAAGTTTTTAATATTTTTTCAGCTAATTTCAGTTTTAAATTTCTTAGGTTGTTTAACTAATTGGAAAACTTCTTTTGTACCACCTTAATGTACATACATAAGTAGGTGTACATACATATGTATATTTGATAAAGGCATTCAACTCCATTTTCATTACGTAGCATTTATTCCGTTGAATGAAAAAGTAGACGAGTGATAACTACCGTTGAGTAGATAAATAATTAATTTGAAGCTTTTGAAGTTGTTGGGGTAGGTCCCAATAGTCCAAGTAGTAGAATCGCATATATGTACGTATGTATGTATACCATTGTTATATAGAGCTGTTAACAATACCTAAGCCCCCTGGATTCGCAATATTAAGGGACTGAAAGTAACCGTTATTTCGGGTTTTTTCCGTAACAAGATTTTAATTTGAAACATTTTTAGGTCGTTTTCGAACTGGCTGTCGATCTTCCACTCATGCGACGATATGTAGAGCAAAAGATATTTGTTAGTTTGATGAAATTATTGGAATATATAAGAATTGTGTTAAGAAGCAAAAAAAAATTTATGGAAGCGAAATTTATGTAAAATTTACGAAAAAGGAAATCCAACACACACATATAAGTAAGTATTTATGAATGTATTTTCTACTCACATTTTTCGCTCTCGTTACATTGAGAAATGCATATGACTTGTTGTGTTTCGAATAAACTTTTGAAAAGTTCTTTGGACCCATATAGCTGCGTAGGGTATTGACTTGTTTTGTTAGATTGCCGCGAAGCTCGCAAAGTACCTGCAAATATGAAAAAAGTAGGAAATGAAATACTATATACGTATGTACTTAGATATAAGTAATTTATGAAAATTATTGATAAAGTTTGAGGCACAGCGAATAAAGACGAAAAAGTTATTAACTTCGAAGTAAGCGGAATTTGGCAAGGACCTTCCATTGACGTTTTTAAACAATACAGCAGAAGTGCCTATCGATCTAAGTGCCTTTAGTGATTTTACGAGGGTTCAAAGGTCACAAAAAGGTATTTTTTTTGCTAATATCTTGTTAATACTTATTTTAGTGACAAAGGGCTAGAAGACTTTCCTTACAGTTTGAAAAGGCGTAAAAGTTGTGCCCATCGTCATTTAATAGTTAAATCTGGCAGGGCGATTGAAATGTATAACTGTTTTTTTACTTTTAAGTACATTGGCTAGAATTTACGTAAATTTTTTTCTGGAAGCTAAGTACAGTTTAAATATTTTATATCCAACTCTGTCAAAAAAACCTTCACGGCATATTGCGCATAAAATGTGGTTGCAGAAGAAGGTGTATGACCCACCGCTCCGCGCAACTCTACCTTTAGCCTGAGGCCCACCAGTTATCACCCGTTCCAGTACCTACTATCGTGGCGTACGACTACGCCTGTACCAAAAGCTCTCTGTGTAGCACTCTTAATAGGTCATAACCGTCGCTGAGAAACATCGGACGATCCGTCAATGCATCTGATGGCGCTCACCGATACTCTTGCCGGTCTGTATACAGGTTTGCATTGATATCATCACTGGTCTGTGGAGCCAACGAAAGATGCACGTTTATATGAAGGTCCGAGTGATCCACCAGAGCATATACCAGCTTTCAGCGATACTATTACCGTCGTCATAAACTTACGCATGGTCCACAAGTACATTTACTGGTCATGCACCGAGAGTTTACGACTCTCTACCGTTAGTGACACCTGTCAGCGTTTCCAACTGTCACCGTCCCAGCCAATATCGCTACTGCTGTCAGCTCCGTCATCGCGGTATGTTTTAGTTGGTGAACCTCCGCATAACCCGGGAGGGTCTGAGCATTACCCGAGGCGTCGACCAAGCTCACCTAGGGTTTGCCGTAGTCTAAAAATCGGTTCAATATTTTGTTGGCCAGATGTGAAGCAAAACTTTTATGCTCAATCAGTTGGCTCATCAAAGGATTTAGTCCTTGTCACAGTATCGTTGGCTATGTTGGCTCTTCTTTATTACAGATTCGGTTAAGTAAAATGGGGTTCCGATTTTTGAAAAGTGTTTATAATATAGTATAAATTGCGTTGAGAAGCTTCTTTGCCGTCAGCTTCGAACAGCTCAGCTAGTATTCCGTCCATTGCGGAGTTTTTTTTTTATACCTAAGCTTCTTATTTCTTTATTTCCCATACATTGATCTGGACTCTCCTTAATCCAACGCGCCGCCTGTGTATCTAATTGAAGAGCTCGGAAAAAGTAGCTCCGGTTTTGCCGATCGTCTTTGTAAACTGTACTGCCTCAACATATGTATGTAACTTATCAAATAAAAAAAAGGAAATATATATTTCATTACACTTACCCTATTTCTGTCAGCACCATGCACCGTTTCATATGAAACTTGTTCATCGGCAAGGACATAAGCGCCACAAGCGTTACTCCAAGGCGTGGGAGCCGCATCCACCAATCCAAGCGCAGGAAGTAGGAAGATAAAGTACACCATTGTTATCACCGTCAGAGGTACAAAATCCATTAAAGTGTGGCAAGTGTAAGTTGCTGCAGCGCATGGAATATCATCTCTCAGTGGAATTAGCCAATCTTCCACAACTGCCGGGGTAGTGGACGCCAACTGAACACTTTCAAAATTTGCATTGCTTCTTATCCGCTCGACGCAAGTTTCCTCCCTTGATTGTCTCCTACTGTTTCGCCATGGGCGACCAAATCTCATTCGCGATGTAGACATTTTTTCGTACGCCACAGACATTAAGTGCTTAGACCGTTCCGTAACGCTTGACCGTTGTGCGCCAATGACTGTAATCAAACGACAAGGCAAGATGTGAAACTCAGTAATACACTTTGTTCAGTAAATATTCACGCTGAGTTGCTAGTAGGTACTTGATCGCGAGAGCGTAGTAGCCGCACGCGACTACGTCAATTTTTACATTTAATTTGCAACTAATTACAAGCAATGGAAATGAACCGTTGTGAAGTGGATAAAAAATTTAACAACCAGCTATGGGCAACAAGCAGAAGCGGCATGAACAGGTGAGTGCCGATTGGGGGAAAAACCCCACAGTGTGCAGGGATTTTCCGAACGCGCGAGCTTGCGCGTGAACAATTAATGATCCGCCAGGTCAAGCGCCAAGCGAAAATATTTTATTCTGTAGGAGAGATCGAAATGGAATTTATGACGCTTTAACGAGTTTCTAATGCCAGGAAAGTACGCAAATGCCACAGGTAGACAATTAAGTTTACCGTCTATAGCTGACGAAGTCGATTGCGTAATCGAACACTATTTTTGGGGATTTTTCCGCTAGCCCACACTTCACAGTTGCGCTGTAGCTCTTATACTAGTTACATACAACATTCTACATTGCGCACGCGCGTTTGAGTACTTATTTAAAAACTCAAAGCGTTGTATGTGCGCCGCTGTCTTGATTTGGTGCCCCAATGACGTTTGCAAAGATGCTGCAAATATTAAGCCGTTTGGAATTTGGTTTTCATGTACCTGCGAGTATTTTAAAAACGTGTATTGACGTATGAGCTTGCTTTACGAAAAACTAGTCTTATGTGGGGCAAACAAATAGTTTATGTGAATCACAAGTACTCGGTCATGGGACACGGGCGAAACTTTTGCAGTAAATTGGCTAATCAAGCATAGAGCTTAAGTAAATTTTCGACGCGTTGCGACATCATTAAGTTTGAACATTGGTAAATATTAATGTACACACTACATCTACATACATTTATATATTTGCTGTTCATATCAAATTTGACGTCAAACGCACACGTGATTGCTTATGAACAATAGATACAGTTGTACCGGGCAGACGAGGTGTTAAATGCAGGTAGCAATTAAATGTCACGGCACAAAATCGCATACGTCATGCGAATGTGCTGGACGAGTAGGTGAGAATTTTTGCCAAATGAAATACACTTTCATGTAAGTATAACCAAGATCGATCTTTTAGGAGCTCAAGCATGGTTGGGCATAATACCCGAGGTCCATGGTACAATAAGAAAAGTTAACAAAGTTAAAAAAGCGGTCGTGTGTTGGAAGACAAACTTCGCTGCAAGCTTTCCAGATTCTTTCATGAGCCTAAGTTGCTTATCGAGGGAAAAGAATGTAGCTTCTCCAAAACTGACACTGGCACAGAATATGGAGACTATTTCAAAAATAATGGGGTGGGGTTAGTTTACTATTTGTGTAATATGCTCCGTTTTTCTAAATCGTGGTATCTGAATACCTCAAGGCCATTGGCTACCAGGTGCCTCCCCCTACATGCCTTCAAACCATCCCTCTAGCGCATCTCAGCAGTCCTTCCAGTGGAACTTTGCATAAGATATCTAGATTCTCGAAGAAGAGGTCTGCAGGAAATTTGAGGCACTCGCAATGGAAGTACTGGACGGATTTTATGTTCTTCTGGTTATACGGGGTTCCGATCCGATCCGAGCGGTCATGTGGCTAATGGTACGGCAAGAGCGAGTGCGATATCATGCAGGTGTGCAAATTATTCCACCTACTGTGGTGGCTGTCCTGATCACTCTCTCAACATCTGAGGACGGAAATAGAAGCGGAGGTTTTACAATCTCAATCGATTCCTTACGAACGAAACAATCCGAGTCAATGTCTAGCTTAGAGAAGAAGGCAAAGGGGATTGGCCTGGTAGCGAAAGAAAACAACACACAAGGGTCTTAGCATATTGTCACTGTCGAAGATATAACGTCTATTTCTCGTCCGAGAAAAGTATCCACTTTATAAATGGCTTTCATAACTAACTAGAATGTTTTGCTTTCATACTGATATAAAAAAACTACTTTGAAAATTAAAAAAAAAACCCAAAAATTAAGAATTGACCCCTTTAGATCAGAAGTGTGCCCCCTGTACCTCAGTTGGCTCACTGAGTACCAATTTTTTCCTGGAATGGAAAGGGCGTTTTTTCTTTATGTTGGCCAAAATATGGAAATTTACATATGTATATGGAAATGAATATAAAATTCGTGTTTTTTTTTCAAATCGTCTATTGATTTAACCATATTTAATTACTGCCTAAAGATTGATCAAATTTCACATAGTGCTTTGGACTCCAAAACTAGCATTTGACAACGAAGTAAGTGTTGCAAGATAAGATTAAATTCCAAAGTTGTACGATGTTATGATAAATATTTTGAAATTTCAGTCACCTGCATCACAACTATGGCGAAATCACACAGCGCATTGAGCTTTACACCAGCTGCTGAAATTCGTTGCGAATCGTTGTGAAAAAGATATGCAATGAAAAATATGAAGAAATAACAACAATTAGCTGTGCCAACAGGCGAGTGCCTTATAAATTCTTAATAAGTATTTTCCCTTTTTAGAAGTTGTAATTTATTTTAGATAATTTCTATTTATTATTTAGCCTTACCTTACGCCTATTCATAGAATATGTAAAACAGTCTCATGACTTTTGCCACAAATTAGAGTGTGTTAATTGCAAAAACCTGCTGAACAGTAGAAATTATGACATACTAATGAAACAGTTTGGTTATTTGTTTTTGTTTCCGTTTTTTTTTTTTTTTTTGATCGCACTCCTTTTGTATTTTTCTTCTTAAAAGTTTTTATTTAGATTACAAGTCACCACCAGACTAAATGTCGCCAACGCGGAACGAATTTTGTGTTATTCAGCCAAAACTAGAAATTTCGGCAGCTGTGCTGATCTAACGAGTTTTTTGTGGCTTTGAATAGCTAAGATGGCTTTGAATATTAATGCGATGCTGCTAAGTGAGTCAAGCGAAATTCCGTTTTTTTTTGCTTTTTCTTTTGTTCGTTTTGGTAAATTAGCACTTCGTCTTTGATAGAAATCTCTTTATTCACATCAAAGCGGCAAATTGTGCCGATAATTAGTCATTGATGTGGACTAATAAATATTTAAGCGCTTATTATAAAGGTGGTGTAACACGTGTCAACATTACACATAACCAAAAAAATAAATAAAAAATGCCGAAAAAGTTTGCACAGTATGTATATGAAAACATTTTTAATGTGTGAAACCACGATCCAGAAAATAAAGGTCGCGCCATTCGCGGACCGCTAACCCTCTCTTCGTCGATTTGACAGCATCCACCCATTCGCTGACGTCACACAATTCTTTTGTTTACATTTTCTGGTTCGTGACGTTTTAGGTTATTTCAACTTTACAAATTTACAAATTCGGAAGACTGAGCGTTGTTTTGTTTTTTGTGAAAACTGATAAAAAAAGTTATAAATTAAAGAAAAAAATGAGGTGTGCAGTGGTTAATTGTGCTAGTGTAAGTGCCAAAGGATCTGGGTGCGCTTTTTTTACTTTTCCGGCCGACATTGAGTTGGTGGAAAAGTGGATCCACTTCTGCCGGAGACCAACGATTTTCAACGCCCGAACCAGCGTCATCTGTGTAAAACACTTCACCACTGATGACTTCGAGAACGAGCTTCAATATAAAATGGGTAAGTTGTACTATTTAATTCGCCAATAAACGCTTATTGGATTTCGTGAGGATGGTGTGACTCAGGAGTAAATTTCACGAAAGGTAGCCGCGCTCATCGTAAATATGAAACCCCCCGGAAGCTTATATTTTTCACTTTTCATTAATACTGCTTTTTATTAAAAGAAATGTTTTAAATTGTGTTAGGCTACGCTAAAAAGCGTAAACTAAAGCGGGGCGTTGTGCCGACAATTTTCAAGCCTGCTGCGGAAATGCCAGATCCTGACAAGGAAGCCCAGCAGCAAGTGTACAANGTGTCAAATTGCTGTGGAAATTTGGCAGCGAAACTTCAAGTGAACAGTAGAGTTCTTGTTGATTCCCGTTGGCAGTGGGTCCTGTGTTGTGGTTATCTCTGCCTAGTCCAGCAGACGCTATTTTACCTGAGAAGGCACACGTAAACCCCGTAGGAGTCGGTGACAAGCATGTTTTCTTGGCTTCTGTATGCGACTTTATGGCACCGTAAGTAATTTGCAGCGGAGTTACTGGTTAGCCGCTTCCTGATCACAAAGCCAGTCAATGGACAAGACGAGCGGACCGACGGCTAGACCAATCGCCGAACATTGTGGACGAATAGACATGTTCGTTTATAGCGTGAGAATCCAGTAGTAACGCTCGAGATGGTTTAATCAGTGATTTAGTCAGGGTGGCTCAGTGAAACGCACTCTATTTTAATGCGGTATCTCGTTCCTTAGCCTTGGCAACAGACCGGCCTTCTTAAAACAAACTTCAATGGAAAAGAAAAAAGGTCCCGAATGAAATGCCTCTTTTTTTATGACGACCACGCCGAACGTTTAAAGGACTATGATTTTTGACAACCGGATCATTAATGGACAAGGTGCGTCTACCCTTTTGTCCTCGCGAAGACGATGATAGATTAGGAAAGAAAATAATCTTGTGGCGTATACTACGTCTGCCATATAAATGAGCGGAAATACATTTGAGGTTTTGTGGTGGGAGAGAGACTCCGCCGCCGAGTACCATCCTTCACCTCGGTGGACGAGCGTTTCATCACAAAACGCATTAAAGCGATATTCTTCAATATCTCGCTCATTTTACAAGGCGACCTATAAGGTCATTTCTATAAGCGCCTGTAGCACAGCTAGGAGCATCCGTCAGACTGCATTTCTATCTCGCGGTCAGAAAATTAAAGACGAACGTTCATGGAGTGAGTGTTCCATGTGTACATAAGATTCGAGGACCAAACACTAATTTTAAACCCTATCTTATTGAATCCGCTGC